TATCTTGTTTCAAGAACATTAGTCTTTATGTAAGGTGTTATTTCTTATTTCAAGAAAGCTATCTTGTTTTAAGATAATAAATCTTGGTACAGCGAGCTCAAAATTATTCAATTTCTTAAAACGAGTCATATTTTCTTTTAAAGAGATAATATATCTCTTTTTAAGAACATTAATCATGGTATAAATCCATATTTAAAGAAAGCTATCTTGTTTTTAAGATATGTATTCTTATTTAACAGAGTTAAATTTATCTTGTTTTAAGAAATTTGTTTTAAGAAAGTTTAACCAAGAAATTTGTCTTGTTTTAAGAAATTAAATCTTGGTCAATCGGAGCTTAACGACTAACTGTTTCTTAGACAAAGATAATTATTATTCATCTCGGTTTGATAACAAATCTAAAAAATGGCCTCTCCCGTGATGAATCAAGATGTTAAAGCTTGGTTCATCAGAGCTGCAAACGATTTATTTTAGGATGAGTTATTGTTTTTTAGTCAAAGATGATTTATCTTGTCTTAAGAAAATATTATAGTCGATTCCTGAAGGAAAACAGTGTCAGTCTATGTCTCTTATGCCAAGAAAGCTATCTCAGCTTGTTTCGCAGCAAATACGTCTTCGTCTAACAACTGAGAGTCGACATGTATGCATTTCTTAAAACTAGTCACTGTTTCTGGTCAATGAAAATTCAACTCGTTGCCATTAATACTTTGTGCCTGTTATTAATTATTTGCATGGCTTTCTCAGCGTGTTAAATTTCTTCAAGTTATAAAAACTCTAAACTGTATTCATTTATACAAACATATGCACGTATTGAGCAAGGTTGCAAGCCATGCGTGATGTGTGGCACTGACAAAGGTGCAGTACTGCTCAAACCCCACTATATATGGAACAATTTCGCATTGGTCATTAATTTATGCAATAATAAATAATTTTAATATGTCAGTACTGTAAAACAAAAATAGTATGACAAGAACAAATGCATCAAAGTTAAAGGTGAAGTGTATAGAATCCAACATGAAACTGATACTATAATTCTATTGTACAAACCCAACTAATCTTAGATTACGCTTTGTGATCGAATGATCAATTTTATGCGACCTATACTAGCTGTATATATAAACGATTTAACTACAGTATAGTTCTGTATCAGTTCAAAGTTAAAGTATATATATTGCATTTAGCGAGTGCAGGGGGTTCTCCCCAACAACATGAAGTCTTATTAGATCCCTCAGGTCATACTTAGTAGGAATGAAAGTGGAATCAAACTGTTTCAGTGTAGAATATACGTTAAAATCCAACATACTTGCGTATAAGCAGAACTTTGTTGGAACACCATCTCCAGGATCTTCAACCTCATAAGACAGAAGGCCATCGTTAAATTCAACTGTTTTCAAAGGTGTGTATTCAAATATAGTATCTTCATCTGCAAGCCAAATTCTCTGAATTCTTCCAAATTCGGGCAACATGCTTGTAAAAGTAGCATCAACTGCAATGATACAGCCCTTATTGGGAACATATTTTTCGTGCGAATGAATCCACTTACATGTAAAACGTTGGTCAAACTTTCAGGATTGGCGTAAAGCAAGCAGTCAGTAATTCGTTGAAAAAAGTGGGCTTTCAACATATCTGTCACCATACTGGATGGACCAATAACCTTTTCGGACTTAAATAACGGGTGTTGGCAGGGTGTTTGGGTTTCAAAGTCTGCACATTCATCAACCTGGCATCGCTCTGCCAAAGAGAGGCAAATGTTCTTGAAGTTCTGTAGTGGAGCCAGGTCTTTGAAATAACGGTGCCTGGCTTCAAAACGTAAACAACAGTGCCTTACAAGTGGACCAAGATACACAATTTGCTGCGGTATGTGGAGCATATAATGCATTTTGGGGGTAATATTCACACCTGGGAACACTTCCTTAAAGAGGATGAGGTTTGCTTCGATTAAAGTTTCCAATTCTTTAATAGTTTCAACACTGATGACTGGTGAAAAGCAGATCTGAACAATCAATGAAATCTGCAATATAAGCTGGTATTGCGGACAGTCATTAGCAACGAAGTTCTTCAAACAAATGGGCAAATACTTCAAGAAGATTCTAGCATGTTCAGCCGTTTGTTTCAGTTTATATTTCTCTTGGCCATTAAACACTGTTTCTCTTAAAGGCGGAGGACGGTTAGCTTCATCTTGGTACCCAAGCTTAAGTTGGCAAAACGTACTGTTCAATTGTTGCAATGTTATAGATCCATTATCAATAAAATATTGCAATGCATAGCGGACTTCGTATTGAACAGACCCTTCCAAAAGGACATGCATTATGTCTTGGGGAAGCTGTTTCGTTATGTCAAATTGAGGTAAGCGGCTCAATACACTTCTTTCGTTAATTCCATATGTGGTCACCAGATTTTTCCTGCTTTCTTCTGTTGGAGCTGTTTCAATATCTTCGCAGTGTTGACGATACTGGACTAAGTTTCTTTCAGTAAAACAGCTAGCCCTGAAATTCTCTTGCATGCTTAGAAATGTACATAAACAATTTCGACATTTCTGGTGAGAAAAACCAACCTTTACTTTGAATCCTCCCCACTGGTGCTGCCCTTCGGTGTCACCAAGGCAACTGACTACGCCACCAAACAACTCCATAAAATTTCCACCTACCACAAATGTATAGCCATTTGCCAGTGTATGTAGGTCATTAATTATTGGGGTTAAAATCTTATTCTGACCGTACATTGAAACATCTTTAGCCTTCACAATAGCCAGTAGCCGAATGGCACAAAGCTTTGACCTATATTTGGGGCCAATGTTTCCAAGTGTATAATAATAAAGATCGATTTTGTGCTTGCCTACATGTGTGCCCAACGGATTGCAGACTTCAATCTCATCATGGTAAAGAATAATTATTAATCCATTTGGGTGCTCTATGAAGATTCTATTGTGCTTTATACATTCACCGTCACAAATGTCAAATAAAAAACCTTCTTTGCATACTTGGCGTGGTGCGGTTATAACATCTGCTATCTTTGAATTTGACAAGAGTTGCTGTAGACTATCAAGAATGGGAATATACACCATTGTGTCATCTTGTTCACAAATAAGACGCTTTGAGCCCTTGTTTTTATATGTGATTCTAGTGGACAGGACATATTGGATTGGTTTGATAAAGTTGACGCTGCTTTCCAAAAATGAAGACTGCAAGTAAGTTGTTTTAAGTTTGCTAAATGGGTCCTCGAAAGAATTGAAAATTTCTTCAACGGATTCCTCAGTCAATTTGTCAGCACCGTTTTCTACACAATTCAATACCTTTTGTTTTAGGTGTTCTTTTACTTGCTCAATTAAGTTGCTAGTACTTTCCACAATCCCATTCAACATTACCTATTTTTAAAGAGAAAATATGATAATAAATAACTATATGTAACACTGTAGAACATGATTTTATATGACAACTTGTGCAAAAAGGGATAAATATTTAGGACTTTTTAATAATGCTGAGATACAAATTAGTCAACCTGGAGAGTTATGTTCAAGTACGTTGAATTTAGCGACTAAACTAAATTTTCAAGGATAGCCCGAACTGTAATGATGAATCTTTTGACATTTGGTAACTCTCTTTTGTAACATTATGAAATATTATTTTCAGGTCCATGTTCAGGTTATTAAATTTTACTAAAAGTTTGTCATTTCTCATGGGTATTGTAGCTTGTCCACAAACTAGTATGTTAACAATAATAACAGCATAATTGAGTTATGCCATATACTGTATAACTCCATCATGTCGTTTAAATTAAAAGGCAACATTGCAGGAATTGCTAAATTAGGTGTAATTAGTTTGAGGAAATTGGGAATTATTTATAGGTACTGTTTGAACTTACACTGTAGCTTGCTGTAATTATAGTGCTGCTGTAAAACTGTAAGGTGCAACAATTGTTTATCCTATTTTTTTCTGTATTTCTGTATTGCCTATTCCAATATTATTTCTTTCTTCCTGTGTCTATCTTTTTTAAGGCATACTCAAGCTGGCAAATATAAGTAAAAAGGGGTAAAAATATATTACTATTTAACTATAAATATATAACAGAAATATTACATTGATATTAAATGGACTTGCAGTGTTATACCAACAATTAACGTTTTGATTCAAAAGAAGCCTTTCATACCTTTGGTATCTTAGACCGTGCTTGAAGTTTAAGCAAGAACTGAGCAGAACATTGCTTGAGGTCTACAGCTTTATCAGTTTGATTGACATCAACCTAGTAAATGTGCAGTTATTGAGTAAGAATATACAAAAAGTTAAGGTAAGGAAATAGAGCATACATGTATGCTGCAGAATTTATCCTACAGTACCCTGTAGATTTTAGAATTGCAAACTCCATAATTCATGGTCTCTCTTAATTCAGTTTTTCATACTCAGGCATATTAATGAAATGGGGATCCAGCTTAATTTCCTATACATATGGTCCCTATTTGCTGAGCTAAAAACAAGGTTTCAAAAAAAGTCGAACAAATTCATTTTAGTATGCAAAAATGACATCAATTACCACAGGGATAAGAATTGGGGAAAGGACTAAATGAGTAAATGTGGTAAAATGGTAAAATGTGCCCTTCTGAAAACATGCCAAAATATGTAAAATATGTTTATAAATTAGCCTGCATTCATGAAATGGAAAACCCCTATTAAAATGCATGAACACCTGTGAACTTACTGTACCTCAACAGTTGGGTTGTCATCCTCGCTATCAGTATCAGTCGACGTTTCCCGAAGAGTTGTTGCTACTCATTTCAAGTGTATGGTTGTCTCCCTGACTGTCGTTTGGCAGCAAATTGGATGTCTCCGCAGCAGACATTTCCTCCTCGTGTTTCCGATGAATGTGTCTTCGGAAAGAATTCATTTTATTATACTGCTCTGGGCATCCATTGATTCCACATTTAATCTTAAAATTTGGATGGGATGCATGTTGCAAAGTAATATGCCTTAACAAGGCCTTCAGCGTCAGTGCTGAAAAACAAACAAATACTACATAACCACACGTTCGACATATTTAGTTAATTTTCCAGCCACAGTTCAACGCAAGAAATGAAATGCCATGATTTGTATTTGGCGCGAAGCCGCGAGCAGTGGCTATAACAGCCATCACTCAAAAATACTCGGGAAATGTCGGACATGCTTCGTGACCAGTTCGCCCTGTTCGTGACCCGCTTCGTGACGTGTACAAAATCACGCCACTAACAGTGTCGCCATCCCCTTTTTAAACTGAGCGGTTGGTGTGAGAATATCACTGGAAAATATACATTATTCAACGTTTAATCCTTTGTAATCCGACCCTTTAAAGGAAATTTAAGAAGGTAAATATTTGACCTTTTGTTAATATTAAAAGTAGTCTTTTATAGTCAAGTGTATTCAACACCGAATTACGAATGTTTATTGAGATTTGAGAATGAACGCTATAAAAGTCGCACGCTGGAGCCGGATCGGAACATTCAAGTATTGTCAAAAAAACAAAAGAACGGTAACTCCGAAAAGCATTTTGTATAATACTGACGACGACTAAAGTGCAGTCGAAACGTGGATTCATTAAAGCTACAAAATGTATTTTCGGAGTTACTGCTCTTTTGAATTTTATAAACATGCTCAGTGGTTCGTGTACTTATATATTTTCATGTTCCATGTATTTTGCGGTGTTCAACATTTAAATGAGCTGCCAAATTCCAATATCACAGTTAGTTTACTGTTCCAGAATGTAATGATAGTAATGTACATTTGAAGTTCCAAAAACTGCGATATTTGGCATCCTTTTATTCTAGCTTTTGTATTTTTTTAGGGTTGGGGATAAAAACAACTCCCGTAGGAATAGCGCGAATCGATTACAGGTAAAATGGTAGCGACTTCGTATTATTTTCTAGTCCTATTTAGCCAATTTAAACTACCTGGAGCAGAAAATTTTATTAGGAATTTTTGTTTCGAGTTCGTCAGATACTACTTTTCAAATACTGGAATATGGCAAAAATACTGATTTTCTAAACTTTTTTTGTACAGGGCCAAGCATGTCAATGGAAGACATAAGGAAACTGGACATCGAGGCTTATGATATACTTCAAGGTACTGCAGAATAGAAGTTGTTAATTGTCTCCCTATTTAATAACTCCCTATTTTGCTCTTGTCTGGCCGACACTCATTCATAACCCCCAAACCTGTGGCTGCCATCCTGGATCGACTGCTCAGTTTAAAAAGTATTTGCATGAGAGTTAAAAAGTATATTTTGTTCTTGAGCTAGGATCCTATTCCAGCTCAGCAGAAATTGGCTCAGCACAAAATAGAAACATCTTCAAGTAATCCGTTGTAATTTAATCCGGGGAAAAAATCAATAAAATACTCTACACCAGCTCATATTAATTTGAAAATGTTATATAGTTTAGACGTACTTGGGAAAATTTCTGTAGTATTATGGGAGTATTAAACCATACTGTAGGTATGTTTCACTTCTGTGATACAAGCAGCTGCAACTCATGCAATAAAATCCTTGTACTTTTGGTGTGATTTTGCATTTAGTTATACTTATCATGCAGTATGTACTGGGAAATCAATTACCATTTTTATCACTTCATTGAATTAATTAAGGCTAATTTCTAGGGGGTTAATGGGTCTTTTGAGTGGAAATCACACTCATATCAAATTCATAATCATACTTTTATTAATTTGCTAGATGCCAGTGTTAATGAAGATATGTTAATGGATTTCAGTCGGGATGATCTAAAAGACTTGTTTGCCGGTGCAGATAAATTTTTGTTGAGAAAAAAGATTTGGAATATTATTGAGAAAGCTGTAAGCTACATTCAAAGTAAAATTATATATTTTTGTTTCATAAGCATGCACTGCATCAAAGTAAAGTTAATTAATCTATTTTTGTTCCTCGAAGAAAAATTATCAGTTTTTCAATGTAATTCTTGTTATCAGCTTGCAAATTAACCGCTTGAAGTTATTCATAGAATAGCTGTCTAACGTACAAAAATTGCTATCTGAATATAATTTTTAGAGAGGATGTAAAGAAAAAATGTTAGAGTCTCCTAACTCTGCAAAAGTAAAGATTAATCAAACCCCAGTGGTAAATCCTCAAACTCCTCCTGTACAAAAACATTTGGGAATTTCGCAGTCACAACTATTGCGTTCACCTTCTTCCTGGTTGGAGAGTCCCCCTAGCCCTGCAAGTGTTGACCTAACTTCAAGTCAGGTGATTACCCCAGCACCTTCTCCGGCCTTTGTTGTATATACAGATAACGAAATTGTCTGTTCAGCCAAGACTGGTGATATTTCGCAAGATCTGTTTAATAGATTGATACGAAATACTGTGTCAAATATGCGATCAGCCTGTCATAGTTTACCTGTACCAAGGGAGCCAACATCCCTGGAAATGGGAGAAATGGCCAAGGTTCTATGTCAAAAGTATCCCTGTTTAGAAAGAGCTTCAGAGTTGACAGGAAGTGAAAGCGGTCATGTAAGTTAGACAGATTAAAAATTTAAAAGTGCAAAATAAAATTGGAAGAGGGGGGAGTTCCATGCCACAAGCAAATGGTTCATAGTAATATAGTTAGCTTCTGGTAGAAACTTTCTGTCAATTTTTAGATAATTATTTTTATTTTACATAATTAAGTTATTCATGAAGGAGTTGTTTACCCACCTAAACCTATCTATTACTATGAGCGACTCCTGCCTAGCTACTATATAGTTTGCCGATTATACTGAGATAAATGTTTTTTTAATTTTGTAGCTTTTTGTGTTGTCCAAAATTAAAAAACGTCTTGGAAATGTTGTCCCAGCTAAGAAAAGGCAAGGAAAAGTGCCTGCGAGATCAAATAAACGTATTAAATTAGACATGCCTGAACTTGGTAAGTTAATATATAACCTATTTGTTTGTCAGAGTAACCCATATGCATGTCATCGTCATTTGATAAAGTTGGAAAACTTACTAGTACATGCAATGAAACAGCTCTTGGGGCCTGAAATTACAGTAGCAGTATTCTGCTAAAAGATGAATTTGCAAACTATGGGTTGCCAGGGGGGCATTGATCCCCTAGCCTAGACCAGGAAGGGTGCAGGTTTGGGTATAAATTCAAATTTTGGGGGATTATGTACGAAAATCAGAGCTTAAATGATGTATTTTGGTGTATTTGAGAGTTTCACAGGCTCTGACATCTGGTAGCACCTTATCCTCCAATTTATATATAAATTTCTAATATCCTAATATCCCTGACAACTGGTGCTTGTACCTCAACCCATGTCCAGCACTTGTCTGCACACCCCCCCCCCCCCCCTACAAAATCGCTCTGGATCCATCCTGGTTCTACTTTTGCACTCACAGCATAATATAAGAGGATTGATGTGCCATGATTTGCCCTATGTTATTATGACTTTCCCTGTGTTGTACTGGCATCTAATGGGTTAAATTGCCTAACTGCCCTTGTGGCTGGTGAATGCTTTGCAATTAATGTATTGGACCCCATAGTAGAACCTGTTACACTAGTCATTACCGCATGTACAGTATATCCTGAAATTTTTAAATGCTTAAAAGCATTTAATGCAACATTCTTGTGATTTCCTTAAGTTTACACTATATGCGTCAGTCCACCACTGTGAAACTCCTTTCTTATGAAAAAAAACACAAAGCATATAATTTCCGATTATTGTCCACAGTATAAAAGCATGAAAAGTCAAGTTATTCAATTCAGTATAACACTCATTATTTAGGTGATTCGAGTGATCCTTTGAAAAAAGGGTCAGAGAGTGAATCATCATCTACTGAGACAACAGACGGATCTAATGAAGACACCGGTCTTTGCGCAAGGCATTACAGTGCATTAGAGAGAGAACAAAGGAAGTGTAAACCTAACCCAAAGGTGATTAACAAATATTTGAATCTAGAGTTCTCGTCTAGAAGGCAATTGATTCAAGAGACGAAGAAAGATGAGAGGCCAAGCAAAATACTGGAGCTCTACCCATGTTTTAAAGATCCTAATGAGGTAAATGTAGTTGCAGAAATGTATCTTAGCCTGTTGTCCAGGTTTGAATACACATGACATTTGTGTTGCTGAAAATATTTGTTAACCATTTAATTAATTGTGCAAATCCGTATTAAATGTTTTGCATCCATTAATGTTTCGTCTAAAAGATAATATAAAAAAATATTGCCTGTTTTGAAATATACAGTACATGTTTTTGCTTTGCAGGTTGTTGAAGAAGTAAGACGATGTCTGAAATTGAAGGAGACTGGTAATCCTGAATCGTACATGACTAGCCGTGTCAGTCTTCTGGAGAAGAAAGTCGATCAGATGATATACTACGGGATCTCAAAAAGTGCTATACAACCACCTATGAGCCAGTCAGTTGGTGAGTTGTATTAGTGCATGCATGTACTCTATTTATGTATGTTAATTCTATCCAACTCTACAAACGCTGCTTATTAATCCCTTGCCAGGAGGTCAGCAATTGAAAGGTAAAGTGTCTGGTGCGTTAGCCACGGTGAAATGCTGAAGGCAATACTGCCAAATAAGGTTGTTAGTAAGGGTGGATTTCCACTTGTAGCGAAATAGTTCGCTTGCGAAATAGTTTAATATTTTGCTTTGAATTGAGAACAGTCAAGTTGAACTAATTGATTTATGCTGTTAAAATTCAAAAGAAAACACGCAAATATTTCGCTGCAAGTGGAAATCCACCCTTACAGCGTTAACACGTGTTAATTCTACTGTCAATTTTTATTATATTTTTCTTTAGACCAAAAGATAGTGCATTTGCTAAAGGGAATCCATGTCATTTTTAAAGGAAAGCCTAAATCTAAGAAGCTTATCGTGCATGATTCAATTTTTATCCCGGAGGTAAAAGTTTACTCTATATAATTATAGTTATATTTCAGTGCTGTTTGTTTCGCCGGTAAAAAGCTCGTAATTTCCCCTTTAATATTCCCTATAGTCTTGTCTTAAGTTTTAAAATGTATGTGTGAAATTTATAATGCCTGGTTTCGATGTAGACTTTTAATCAGGGACGAACTAGAGCGTTAATTCGGGGTGGGGTTCATTTTCATATAATATTCTGTTCTGCCCGACGGATTTCTTTGAAAACACGTATTCGCACAATCGAATTCCGTTGGACAGAACAGAATGTATATGAGAATTCACCCTCTCCGAAGTAGAGCTCTAATTTCGCCCCTGCATTTAATTCTTGCAAATAACATTGTTTGATTTCCTTTTTATAGGATAACGAACTTCCAGACGTGTGGCAGCAAACACGCCATGGTAATTCTCCGGGCCTAATAATGACGAAAGAAACGGCGCAATGATTCTCTTTGAAAGGATGTTTTCTTGCGCTTCGGGGATACGGAATTAGCGAAAGCGGTCGTAGCCAGCTTCCTTCTACCTCCTAGATTGGACTACCCTTTTAGGTCATTGGTCCCATTTCTGTCTTGCAGAAAATTATCTTCCAGGACAATCAAGTGCATCCCAGTTGTCAAGGCGAAGTTGCTAAAGTTCTAAAACTTTGAAATGTATCATGACCGAGCATAACGTTTGTGGAGACGGCAAGTTCATATATACGCCAGTTAGAACATTTTTACTACATATTATCTGAACTGTAGTAATTTTTTTATTTTTTTGCAACCCTAAGTTTGCGCTTTGAAATCACGTTTATGTAGAAATAAAAACGCACCTTATGAGCACATGCATGTCCAGCATGTTGTTTAAAATTGGATTTAGCCAAGAAACACGTGCAGTAAATTGCGTTTTTGCTCTATAAGAACATGATGTTAAAGCATTTGTTTTTGGTGTGGAACATAGTTTTTTATGACCAAAACTTTATATGTTATTGTTTAAGAAGGGAAACCGCTCATTTATATTATTAAGAAAAATTTCCTTGTCTTTCCTTTACAGCGTTTTTTAAAAATATTTCTTGTGTATGCCACAGCGTAAAACAATAAAAAAAATAATTTATCTTGATTAACGATATTTTTCTGTAAATTAATAAGAAAAAAAGAAATATTTTCGTGTGTAGAAACAATAAAGTATTATTTTCTTAGCAAGATTATTTATCTTGTTTGACCAGATTTTCCCTTAAATCAAGAAAGCGTTTCTTAAAGAATTATTTCTTGCGTACGGGACAAAAAGTAGAATTTTCTTAGCAAGATTATTTATCTTGTTTGACCAGATTTTTTCCCTTAAAACAAGAAAGCGTTTCTTGGTAAGAATTATTTTCTTGCGTACGGGACAAAAGTAGAATTTCTTAGCAAGATTATTTATCTTGTTTGACCAGATTTTTTCCCTTAAAACAAGAAAGCGTTTCTTAGTAAGAATTATTTTCTTGCGTACGGGACAAAAAGTAAAATTTTCTTAACAAGATTATTTATCTTGTAACACAAGATAATTTGTCTTATTTTAAGAAAATATTTCTTCTTGCGAAAATCTAGACGAGAATAATTTTCTTACCCACGGGACAAGAAAATATTTCTTGATTCAAGAAATATTTTCTCAAAACAAGTTTTTTTTTCTTGTTTCAAGCATTTTATTTTTTGCAGTGTAGGTTTAATTATTGTCGAATACACAAAATTAAAAAAAATTTCCCTTGTGCCTTCCTGTGTGTTCCTCATTTTTGGAAACAATTTGAGTGACTGACATGAAGTGGTTCGTGGTAAAGTAGAATCTAATCAAAGAATCATCTGTTTTAAATTGTTCTTTTTAAAGTGTTCGTTTTTAATGTATTTTTCAAACATATTAGCAAAGACAAAAGGAGTGACGAAGGAAAAAAAAAGTGTATGCCAAACATTTTTTTTCCTTCCAAATATGTGGTTTGAATTAAACTTTCATTAAAAATTTATATATTTTCCTTAGGTCCAAACTAGGCGAGAGAAAAAATGCCCGGAGTGTGGCAAGGAGATTAAGTATCTCTCAAGCCACCTCGTTCATGCACACAAGCCGGCCAAGGCTGAAGAAAGCCAAGTTGCAAGACGGCAGCCGAGGTCAGTGAAGGCAGGTGTGTGCCAGAAACGGGCCCCAATTTTCTGTCTCATTGAAGACTGTTCCGCCATGGTGTGCCGGAAGGACAAGCACCTCAGAAATGTGCACAATCTCAGTAACAATGACCCGGAAGGGTCAGTCCAATTATGCTTATTTTTGTGCAATACAGTCAATCGAGATATATCAAGCAACACATGCAAAACATTTTCAGAGATTAATTTAATGAAGTATGTTACAGGATGAACGATATAATCGCGGCGAAAAGATCGAGGGAAAGTGGGATGAGAAAGGTCGATGATGCTACACAAGGGCAGAGATGAAAACGAGGATCTGTATAACATGTTGAGACCACCCAAACCACGGGGAAGCCCGCTCCCTGGAAAATTGAGAGACATATGCAAACTTCCCGTGAAGAAAAAACGTGGCAGATGGCAATGCCGAAATGCAGTGCTGAGTATTTCAATCGATATAAGCCCAAAGAGTGTTCGAGTTGTGGTGAATTTATTGGTGGATCGCATACGTCAGAAAAGACCCAAAACTGCAGTAAAAATTTCTAGCGCAGTCACTGATGGTTTTCCAGAACCATTTGGAAAGTTTTGAGGGAAATGTCTCAATCCTGTGCCAAGACATGTCAATTGACAAGATAAGAAATAACTTCTTTCTTAGAAATGACAAGCTGCCACAACCTCTTTAGCCCCAGACCCTCAAAACCTATATTGTCAACCCTCCGGCTTTTTTACGGTTTATGTTGGCGAGGGCCAACGAGGGAAAAGAGTCGTCGAATTCACGCCATGAGAATCTCATCAACTCTGCGTTGGCCAGGATTGATTCCTGGTCAGCAAATTTCAACGTGAGGGTGAAAGAGGGAGAAAGGCCGGAAAGAGGTTCTCTCTTAAAGAGACTTTTTAAGACTCAGAGCGGGGGAAGAAGTTGAAAGTATAAAGAAGACTTTTCGAGAAATAAAGGAAAAGTCCATGCAGTGGGAAAAGTTGAGTTTGCATGCCAGATTGCGCGATTTTCTGATGCTCCAGGTAATTATTATCCAGTGGCCAACGTTTTGGAGCATTATCAAACTTATCAGCGAGAAATTACAGAAAGGCTTCAACATTAGCACCAATAGAAATGCTCCCATTTATCGCAATGAGACTACAATGAACAAAAAATCGCTTGGACCAGCGAAATTATTTCGGATCAGGGAGCTGAAGGAGATGGCTGACACATGTCTGGACTTACTCCGCCCCCAGTATGCAAATAAATCTTCCAATATTCCTGCAAAACCCGGTGTGGTGGCAGAGGAAGCAGTCTATATAACGTCCACTGGGGCACCAATGTCCGAAAGCGCAATATCGAAAGTTGTCCAGCGTATGGGTGAGAAACTTCATGGGAGTCTTCAAGGCAACTTGATACAATCAAGGTTGCGCAAATCAATAATCACTCATCACAGGGGAAAGAAACACACGCGGTCTCTAAAGAGAATGTGGCGAGACAGATGACCCATTCTGTGAAAACTGCCGATCGCTATCACAATGTCGAGAACAATAACCACAGCGATTTGACAGTTGTTCACTATCTAAAAAAGTTACCTTTGCCTTTTCACTTTTTTCTTACACTGTTTTCTTTTTTGGGTGATTCCGAAACCCATCCCTTTACCAATTATTTTAGAGAGAGATAGTGATGAGGATGGGGATGAAGATGCCTTGTCATTTTTTCTCAAAGTTTTTCTTTTATTGGGTCATTCCATGACTCACCTCTTTGCCAATTATTTTAGAGAAAGATAGCGATGATGAAGATGGGGATGAAGATGAACCTGGAGACAAAGATGAAGGTGAAGATGCCTTGTCAATTTTTTTAGACTTTCTTTTTTCGGATGACCCCGTGACCAATCTCTTTACCAATTATTTCAGAGAGATATTGATATTGACAGAAATCTGACAAGAGCGAGATATTCACAGAGAAAAGCCAGTCTGATATATGAGTCGACAATCAATTTGTCAGACAATGCTGGCGTGAACGAAGTTCTGGGATGCCTAATAACGGACCCGGAAGTTTCAATGACTGACTTGTTGTCCAAATACAGCAAGCAGTCTGCGTGACAAATTCCGCAGCATTCGGAAAGCAATAAAGAAGATAAAGTAAACAAATTAAGGATACAAATTTAATATAATAGAAGTGAAACAATTTAATAGGCTCAACACTAAAAATTTAATGAAAAACTCAATTTTTCAATGACAGCATTATGTTATAGTAAAATCATAACAGCATTATGTTATAGTAAAATCATTGCTCTTTCATGCAAAACATGTTTGAAACCAAAAAGAAAGCGTTATCGCAGTAATTTTAGAGATTTTATAGTATATGGTGCTATTTTCGAGTTGCCATGGAAACGGATATTGTTTTTATTCAAAAGAATGATCAATTTGAGCTTGTTGTTTATTCAAATTTGAAGTTGAGTGTCATTTTCGAGAGACTGGTATCTAGCCACTTCTGAATGCTAGGTTACCAAGCCAATACTAATATTTTCCAAGGAAAGTTGTGACCCGCGGAAATGCCTCCAAAGCGAAATTTTTTTAGAAATGCAGGGAAAAACGCAGGTTTCGTGGTAATCAATATAAAAGTGCGGAAAGTAGTTCGTCTAGTAAGGTTTGTGATGAAAGTAGTTCAGAAGAATCGAGTAAAAATCAAGATTCAAGCGCCTCATGAAGTAGTATAGCAGACAAGGTTCCAACACAACCACGTGTTCACGCAGCAGTCAAAATCCCACGAGCGTCACGTCACGAATTCTCTCTAGCGCCTCTGGAAGCACATTCGGATTCTTCCCTCAATACTACCGTCGCTATGATGAACAAGAGCAAGAGAAACCTAAGAAAAAGAGAAGAAAAATTGTAAATTATAGTTATGATGAGGACGGTGATGACGAATCTTAATCTCAACGCCTGTAAGTATATACTATCTATAATGTATGTAGTAATGTATGGGTCGCAAGAAGAGCGAATTGGATAGAAACGTTCGCGAGAAATTGAGAAAGAAGAGAGTGAGAGACGAAGAGAGATTTAATAGACCGTTGAACTGCTGGATACGAAGAAAATATCCCTAAATATTTCACGAGTATTCGAAAGTGTTTCGTGAGGTTTCGAAAGCTAATCCACACGTGAAAGATATCATGAAGACCATGGACTGGAAACTGAAATTGTTTGACGATAGCGGTTTAGACATGTCTTCGATGCAGAACTCGATTACGGAGGTGAGCGAGATAATGAACATCGAAGACGAGATTCATAGAGAAATTGCGCGTCTGGAGAAGAACGTTAACATTTTGGGGAACAGCATCGACGAC